AAGGAAGCACAATGCTACTCTTCGTTCCCAAGAAAACAATGCAATCTACATGATGACAGCTGCCAGCCTCAAACACCAAAAATGCCAAAACGACACCACAATCGCTCACCATCAACCACTGCTCAAATGGAAAGTGTGGTTACTCATTAATTTCCAAAAACTACATGGCATCTCAGCACTCCAGGGAATAAGCTGCTCACTGATTCACAACACACACACTCTACAACTTAACTATGCCGCACGCCTTTCTGCCTCTTAGCATTCCCGCAGCATGGCAGCTATGATTTTTAAAGAACAGCCCTTAGATCTTGCAACAACCTGCTCATAAAAATCACTTTAATATCAGTAATATACAGATTCACAGGGGATTGTCCACAGATTTCCATCCATTTCACTGCAAGAAAAAAAAAATAATCCTTCCTAGGCAGTGATGACTTCCTCACACTGTGCATGATGTCCAGCGGTGTACGACGGTGCCAGAACTGCTCGACTTAGAGGACCTTTCCCAGCACTACTGCGGTGCTGAAGCAATAGGAATAATTCAGTAGATGCTGAACTTCAAAATTTGAATCTAGGTCTTTCCTGGGGCTATCCTCTCTCCTGATGTTGAGTGGGGCAGAGAGCACAACGCCACCCCCGCTCACCCCCTGCTCTGTCAGGAAGGTAACACCTCATCATCAACAGCATGCTAGGTTGCTAAACTGGGATGCTCGGCAGGTTACACATGTTGACCAATTTCAGTTTAGACTGAGCGCGCGGTCTTGTTAATTCCATCATAATTCAAGGGGCACCTGCACCACATTTAACAGGCTACAACGGCTAACTGCAAAGATTCTGAATTTGAGATTCTTGGTTGTTGCTACCTATAAAAAAGAACTAAAGAACTGGCCTTAAGGAACTTGAACAAAAAAAGAAACAGTTCCAGGGCCCAGTGCGATAGCATAGTGGTTAAGATCCTCACCTTGAATGTGCCAAGATCCCATATGGTTGCCCGTTCTAGTCCCGGTGGCCCCACTTCCCTTCCAGCTCCCTGCTTGTGCCCTGGAAAGCAGTTGAGGACAGCCCAAGGCCTTGGGACCCTACACCAGCGTGGGAGACCCAGAAGAGCCCCTGGCTCCTGACTTCAGATTGGCTCAGCTCCAGCAGCGGCAGTCACTTGAGTGAACCATCAGATGGAAGATGTTCCTGTCTCTCCTCCTGTGTATATCTGCCTTTCCAATAAAAATAAATCTTTAAAAAAAACAAAAAACAAAAAACAGTTCTAATAACACTCCCTCCTTTACCACCTGGTCTCAAAGACGTAGAAGCCACAGTGGCAGCACTGACGATGGCTCTTGGTTCTGGGGACATGGCCTGTCTGCCCTGTCCCTGCCTTGCAGGTGGGTGCTAGCTACCTTCCTCCACTTTACTGAGTTGTCATTTGGTTGCTTCCTCACCGTCTCCATTTCCAAACCACTTGTTCATCCCACCAGCCCCTTCTTCACTGCTGACTCAAAGCGGCAACTACTTCCTCATGCCCCAGCACTACTCATCTCCCGAGCACGTTGCTCTCATCCTTCAGCAAAGAACTTTATTTCTATGAAAAGAAGAGTTACAAAGAGAAAGCAGGAGAGCAGGAGGAGAGGGAGGGAGGAAAGAAAGCAAAGAGAAAGAGCTGTTCCAATGGCTCCAGCCATGGGGGCTGGGTCAGGCCAAGGTCAGGCGCCTAAACCCCATCTGGGTCTTCCCTGTGGGAGTAGCAGGTGTTCAAGTCCTTCAGCACATCAGAAGACAGCTGGACTGAAAACTCAGCACCCTGCACTCGAACCTTACTTGAATGGAATGCCAGCATTTCAAGTGGCAGCTTAACCTGCTACAGCACAATGTTGGTCTGAGCTCTTTTACACCTCTTAGTTCCCTTGCACTAGTAGCACCCTGGTACATCTACGCAGTGTTCAGTCAGTCCTATCCCCTGCTCACCCAAAGGCACAGGAGTGTGTGCATCTTGAACTCATACTTTCTTCTATGCCAGTTTCAGGTTACCCTTGCTTCTATGTCACACGAGGAGTAACTCTCTAGGAGATTGCTGTGCTAGAATTTGTAGACAAAAGGCGGAAATAAGGTATTCAGCACCATGCCAATACATTTGCTGATATTCAGGCAGGGAGATGCAATTTTTTTTAAAGGTTTCCATAAAAATACACTTGAATTACTTAGTGAAGTACTCCTGGCAGAAGGGATCAAAAGGCCTCTTTCTACCAAAGACTTGGAAAAGTAACATCTGTAACAATTTGCTCTTGCGCATCCCTCTAAACTATTGCATTTATTAATTCTCTGGAGCACCACAGGGTCCCATCAATGTAGAGCCATGTGGTTCAGAATGACTTGTAATGGACTGACAATGACATCAAGACCCTGTGAACTGGTCCCACAGGTCACACTTAGCACATGGGTCATCCACAGGTGACTATGTCACCTTTGGTCAAAGGCAACTCTACACAGCACATTCCAGATGGCCTGGAATTTCCTGCATCCGAGCTCGCTCACGTCACCGTCAGCCTGGGACCACTATAGTTGCTCCAAGTATAAATGTAAGTGGCGCTTCTACCTCCACCAAAACCTTTCTCACTTTACGTAACCAAAGCGGGGACCCGAACTGGGGCCAATGCGGAATACTGGCTGCAGGTAGCAGCTTACTCATACACGACAACACTGGCGCCCTGCAGGTGATTTTTAAAAAAACAAACGTCTTTCTATAGCCAATGTGTAATCCATGGCTTTTTTCTCCGAGTTGCCTATCAAGAAACCACCTCTGCTCGACCTTGATGGTTTCCCGACTTGACACATACACTGTCAGTATCAACAGTAGGCCTGTTCTGGCTTTAAGATGTATGTCAAAACTCAGCAGTATCCTCACTTTTACTGCCTCACTTTGGCCCCACACTCGTCTAGAGCCATCTCATCTTAAAACTGTTTTCCCTGCTTCTATTCTCCCATATTCCATTTTGCACAAATCCACAGCACTACAGCGGGACATGTTATTCCCTTACAGGACCCTCCAAGGACTGAATGGTTTCTGACCATGACCTGTGAATGATCAGGTTTCTGCCTAGAATGCTGGTTGCCTGTGGTTTCAGTTTCCCTGTACTAACAACCCTCCTCCAGCGACACAGGCCTTCAGGCCTGCAGCCCGGCCGTTTTCTCTGCATCATGTGTGTTGATTCCAATTTTCTAGCTGGGAGGTGTCTCCTTATCTCTTAGGGCTTAGCTCCATTATCAACTCTTGGAATAGTTTTGAAAAACAATTCATCTTCAGAGGTACTCCATTATCTTTCCAGTTTTTTCTTTTTTAAAGATTTATTTATTTTTACTGGAAAGGCAGGTTAGATTTATGGAAAGCCAAAGATCTTCCGACCGTTGATTCAATCTCCAAATGGCCACAATGGCTGGAGCTGAAGTCAGAAGCCAGAAGCTTCTTCTGGGTCTCCCATGTGAGTATAGGGTCCCAAGGCTTTGGACCGTCCTCCACTGCTTTCCCAAATCACTAGCAGGGAGCTGGATGGGAAGTGGAGCAGCCAGGACACAACTGGTATGCATATGGGATCCAAAGCTTGCAAGGTGAGGATTTAGCTGTTGAGCCATCACGCTGGGTCCTATCTGTCCATTCAAATCTCATATATGTTTTTATTTGTTTGTTTTTAAAGATCTATTCATTTTATATATTTTTAAAGATTTATTTACCTTTACTACAAAGTCAGATATACAGAGAGGATGAGAGACAGAGAGGAAGATCTTCCGTCCGATGATTCACTCCCCAAGTGACCGCAACAGCCAGTGCTGCACGGATCGGAAGCCAGGATCCAGGAACCTCTTCCCGGAGGTCTCCCACGTGGGTGCAGGGTCATAAGGCTTTGGGCCGTCCTCAACTGTTTTCCCGGGCCATAGGCAGGGAGCTGGATGGGAAGTGGGGCCACCGGGATTAGAACCAGTGCCCACATGGGTCCCGGCACGTTCAAGGCGAGGACTTTAGCCACTAGACCAAGCCGCTGGGCACAAGATCTATTTATTTTTATTGAAAAGTCAGATATACAGGGAGGAGGAGAGAAAGAGGAAGATCTTCTGTTCCCTGATACACTCCCCAGGGGCCACACTGGCTGGAGCTGAGCCAATCTGAAGCCAGGAAGTAGGAGCCTCTTTCGGTCCCCCACCCAAGTGCAGGGTCCCAAGGCTTTGGCCTGTCCTCGATTGCCTTTCCAGGCCACAAGCAGGGAGTTGAATGGGAAGTGGGGCTGCTGTGACATGAACTGGCACCCATATGGGATCCCAGCACATGCAACCCAAAAACTTAAGCCACTAAGCTACAACGCCGAGCTCCTCAAGCTCACATTTGTACTAGAATAAGCAATGAGGATTACTACAAAGTTCACAGACGTACATAGCATACTCAATGACTCAAATCAAGGAAGCCAATCAAATATTTCTGCAATAAACTACAGACCCCAACCGGCCATAAAACCAAGTTCCATATTCAGAAACTTATATCTTTCACATTGACAAGTAGCATCATGACAACAACAAAGGCCAACATGGATCTTCGATGAACTAACGCATAAGATTCATAACTGCTAAACTTGCTACTGGCAGGATCCCGTTTCCTTCGAAAATGGCCCTGTGTCCACATCATGTGAAATACTCAGTTACAATTCACTGAATTCACAACCAGGAGCTTCAGCAGAAATCAACCTGTAACTGCTTTGATGCAGTATTTCAAAGGTAATCTCATGAAACATCCTCTTGCCAGTCTAATTTCAGCAATGATCAGAAAATGGACATCACTTTCGATTAAAAAAAAATTGCAAAATACCAAACTTCTGAGAGGTATTCACCCATTCTGAGTCAGAGTCTGCCTTCCACTGAACAGTGTTAGTATATAGTAAGCACACACCACCACTGGCCTTCACTGAAGCCTGCTTTACTTTTTAAGCCGCTACTAATGGTTTTTAAAACGGTTCCACACTTACCATAATGTGATTGAAATGCCTGTGGTTTGACAACCTGATTACAGTCGTTACACACCACCAAGTAGAAATCATCATGGGCTGGACAGAGACCAAATATTGGCATGTCTGCAACAAAGAAACAGGGGGTCACTCACTCATCAGATTCCAACTGATGCCCAGCAGCAGAGGAACAACATGTTTCAAAGAAGCTCTCATATAAAAGGAGCACCAGGACAATCAGCAATCTGGTTTAAAACTGACCCACGCAGAACGCCATCACAATTAAGTGTACAGAGAAACTTTGCAAAAGGTTAAGGTAAAACCCACCCCAAATCATTATGAACCAAAACAGATCCATTTTTTTTTAAATGTAAGAAATGAATAACTGATACAAAAGAAAAACTTTTGAGGAACTCTACCAATGATTCTGGGGGAAAAGTTGCAAAGAAATAACAATAAAATGATTAGTAATTCTCGAAGTCATATATTTGAACAGTTTTATTTGTTAAATTATGAGCTCAATTTGTCTCCTTAGTTCTAGGAAACAAGAAACTATGTTCACATTTTTATTTTAGGTCACTAGAACTTCTAGTTCTTTCGTATAAATCATGACATCAGTAGACACAGACTGAGCTCAGTTTATAGGCAGCTTTTCATGTTAAGTTCAGTTTGAGCCACAGAACTGGGCACAATCTAAGCTTTTCTGGCTGTTTTAAAATAGTAAGATAGCAACTGGAAACAAAGTAACTTGATACCTATTAAAAATTATTCCCTAAAAGGTCTAAGTGTGAGCAATTTAGTTACTGAAGTAATATAGCAGAGAGCTGAAAATTCAAGCCAGAATTTAGACTTTTAAAACATTTCAAAATTGGGCATTTCAAACAAGCAGTCTGCACTACATGTACCACTGAGGGGTGAGATAGTCATGCATGAGATAGTCATGGTAGCTGGGTTTGTATTACATTGACAATTACGTGCTTTAGTTGACCACATACCTAAAGGGTGGGGAGCGAATGTTAAAAACCTTATGAGCATCTTTTCTTTTCCTGAAAGGTTTAATTTCAGAGACCAGTGCTTTGGTGAAGTAGGTTAAGTCACTGTCTGCAGTGATGTCTGCTTCAAATTGTGGATGCTCTACTTCCAACCCAGCTCCCTGCTAAGGCACCTGTGAAAGCCGAAGATGGCCTAAGTGCTAGGATGCTTGCATGCATGTGGAAGCCTGGAATAAACTCCCGTCTCAGGACTGGACCAGGCCTGGCCACTTTGGTCATCTGGAGAGTGAACCAATGGATGCAAGTTCCTGTTATTTTTTCCCCTCTCCTCTACCTCACAGTACATAAGTACACAAATAACCCCCCAACACACCTTTTTAAAAAAGATTTTTAATTTACTTAACTGTTTTAAATTGCAAGGCTGATTTACAGAGAGATGGAGAGAAAGATCTTCCATGTGCTGATTTACTCAAGTGGTCGAACCTATCTAAAGCCAGGAGCCAGGGGCCTCCTGCAGGCCCTCCACACAGGTGCAGGGTCCTAAGGCCTTGGGCCATTCTCCACTGCCTTCTCAGACCCCAAGCAAGGAACCAGATGGGAAGTGGAGCATCAGGGACACGAACTGGGACCCATATGGGATACCGGAGCATAGAAGACAAGGATTTAGCCACTAGGTCACCACACTGGGCCCAATAAATGTCCTCTTAAAAAATAAAGCCTAAAAAAGCTTTCCCATAGCTTTGATGACCTTAGTGATTTTAAAGAGAATAAACTGATCAAGGGAGATATCAAACGAAATAGGCACCAGTACTGTGGTGCACTGGACTAAGCTGTCACAACACTGGCACCCCATATAAACATCAGTTTAAGTCCTGGCTGCTTGACTTCTTACCTATTTCCCTGGCAAAAGTCTGCAGGGTGAACCTCTCTGGGCCCCTGCTACCCAAGTGAGAGACCCAGATGAGCCTCACAGCTTCAAGCTATCCCAGTCCTGGCCATCAGGGAGTAAAGCAGTAACTGGAAGTGTTTTCTCTCATACACATACACACAACACACACTCATCAACCCTCTCTCTGTAACTCTGCCTTTCAAATAATCTTAAAAAGATCTGTCAAATATCAAGTTACTCATCTCCTATCTACACATGGCTAGAGTTCAGATTTTCGGCTTCTATTTCACAGAACTATGGGCAGCCAGCAGGCAGAGACCTATCCCAGGATCCAACATGACAGTCAGCTGCAGGTGTAGCATCGCTTCTCTGTGTCACCTCGTTCTACCTCTGTACAATCTATGCAGGCACCACGATTTCTACTGTAAAAGGAAAACAGATTCACGGAGAGGAAGAGTTAGTCAAAGCTGGGATTTGGATCTGGCACACAATGAAGTCTACAATATCTTTTTCCTTTTTAAAGATTTATTTGAAAGTGATTTACAGGGCCAACACAATGGCAATAACAAGCTAGTCCTCTGTCAACAGCACCAGCATCCCCTATGGGTGTCAGTTCAAGTCCTGGTTGCTCCACTTGCCATCGAGCTCCCTGCTTATGCTCTGTGGAAACAACAGAGGATGCGGTTCAAAGACTTGGGCCCTGCACCTATGAGACAGACCCTGAAGAAGCTCTTGGATTCCTGTCTTGGGTCAGCACAGCTCCTGCCAGTGTGGCCATTTGGGGAGTGAACGAACAGAATGAATCTCTCTCTGCCTGTCCCTCTCTCTCAGATACTCTGATATCCAAGTAAAACTAATGAATCTTAAAAAATTGTTTACTTGGGGCCCAGCACGATAGCATAGTGGTTAAATCTCTCGCCTTGCATGTGCCAGAATCCTATATGATGCCGGTTCTAACCCCGGTGGCTCCACTTCCCTTCCAGCTCCCTGCTTGTGCCCTGGAAAGCAGTTGAGGACAGCCCAAAGCCTTGGGACCCTGCACCCACGTGGGAGACCCGGAAGAACTCCTGGCTCCTGGCTTCAGATTGGCTCAGCTCTAGCCGTTGCAGTCACTTGGGGAGTGACCAATCGGACGGAAGATCTTCCTCTCTGATCCCCTCTTCTCTGTATATCCGCCTTTCCAATAAAAGCAAATGTTTAAAAAAAATTGTTTACTTGAAAGTGAAACAGACACAATCTTCCATCTGCTGGTCCATTCCCCAAAAGGCTGCAATGGCCTATACGCAGGACCAAGCCAGAACCAGGAACCCAGAGCTCCAGGTCTCCGGTACAGTAGCAAAGGCCCAAACACTTGAGCCATTTTTTGCTGCTTTCCCAGGTGCGTTAGCAGGGAGCTAGATATGAAGTGGAACATGCTGGGCTTGAACCAATGCTCTGATGGGTGTCACAAGCATCAGCTTCATCTGTCTCACCAGAACACTTGCTCCTTGATGGCTTGGATCTGGCTTGTCCCGAGGAAACACAGGAATGGTAATTATTCCTTCAGGATTCCCACTCCAATAAAAATGAAATGTCAGTACTGACCTCAGCCTTTGCATAAACTGATTAGATAATGTTAGAAGTTTCCAACACACAGCTGACTTCTGTGACTAAGCTTAATTATTTAATAAAAAAAATGAGAGTCAAACAATGTGCTACTTTCCTTGAAAGCATGCCCACATGGAGTTAAATATAGTACATGTGGGAGAAGGCAAAAGGTTATATGGCAGGCAGCCTCTCTCTGCTTCAGACACATACACACACACAAACACAAACACAATAAGCTACTTCCTATGGCCGTGTCTTGACGTTTCATCCTTAGACATTTAAAGCAGTTTGTCCCAAGTTCCATATACCCCCAATGCCGTATGTCTCCAACAGGAGTTATAGTAAGGAAAACTCCATATCATAGAATATAGTAATATTCATAACTTGTAAGTGAAAAGCATGAAATGTCCAACAACCTGTGTGATGCAATGGCTTGTCATAGTTTTCTTCAGTAATTAACATCAAGCAATGCTGTTTAAAATACATCAATAACATACTTCTGGGGATTTGTTTCCTATCCCTTAAAAACTGAAGCAACTGTGGAAAGGATTCAAATTTGCTACAATGATGCTTAAACAGAAAATGGTTCTTTTCAGCCCTGCTTCCTGTATGTCTTTTGAGATTGGCAGCAAACAATCCTAGGAGGGTAAAGGTCCCTCTCAAAGGGACCAGGGATGTAGACTTCCGTAAATACCATTTCCTCAGTAACTTCAGTCTGTATGCAACGGGTGATGACAGTAATGACAGTCGCAATGACAAATGGCTGACGTTCATCATTAATGGACTTAATTATTTATTAAGCCCTTTTTGTGTGGTTTACCTCATTTCTAACTATAATCCTGCACTAATATCTTCCTTTTTTTTGGTGGAGAAATCAATCTATTTAATATATAGCAAGAAAACAGCCCAAGGATGACTCTGGTTTGTGAGCTGTAAATTTAGTTCTTAATCTTTCAGCAACACGCTGCCATCTCCCCGAAATACATGTGCACGTAGACACACACACACATCCTACTGAAACAAAAATGGTACACTTAAATCCAGTTCACATCACCCCAAGAATTCTCGTTTCTGTTCTGAAAATCTAAAGCAACATTTACTTTAGTTTTCTAAGTTCTTTACCTTCAGATATCCTTATTTGGAAGTAAGCTAGAAGAAACAAAATAATTTAAATGCCCCCCCCAGCCCCCATAGAGTTCTATATCCCTTTTCTGCACTGGAACATTCCAGAGGCCTTAGCAACAGGAACGGAGTGTGGAATGTTGTGGCAACACAGAGAAATGACATAATTTGTGTGAGAGACAGCAGGCATGCTTCTGAATCCTTTCAGGGCATACAGTCATCACTGTCCCTATCAGCACGTGCATCTTGCCAGGGCAGAGGAAAAAGCTTCATTTACAGCAGAAAATATTGGGCTATTAAAAATGACTTCATTATAGGATTTAAATATTTACAAAACCTACTTTAGATAATATAACTCACCATTAATTACGTACTTGGAAGTAATTAAAAGCTTTTAAATTGAACTTTTACTCATGGAGTCTGAGCTAAATTCAAAGGAAAACCATCACTGTTGTTTAAGCCCTACATCTTTTTCAGAATCTGAGTCATTTGGCTCCCACATGTAGGGTTCTTGTACTCCACACCAGAAAGGGCAC